TGGGGAAGTATCAGTATCCCCCCACTACAGGAGATCAGGAGGCTGGTACATTAAGAGCGGGACTGGAAGAAAAGGCTGAAATGATGGGGTGACTGGTCATGCTAAATTGTTGTTTAGCAGAAGAGATGGGGTGAAAAATTAAAAACAAAATCTCCAAGCAGGCAAAGGACTATTAAGCACATTCAGAAGGAAAGGAGTTTTCAGAGTGAAGCAATTTATTGCCCCACAACTATTTAGAAGAAATATATAGAAATGCAAAGGGATCTCAGTATTGTCAATCTAAGTGAGTTAAGTGTAAAATAGCTCTCTCTGGAATAATGTAAACTGTGTAAGAAGTGATACCACTCTCTGATACCACTAGCCTCTCTTTGACTTCCTCTTCAACTAATTTCTGCAAGCAGACGTAGGACAACGAGGGAAAAAACATGCAAGTCTAAAATTACCCCAGCAACATGTAAAACATGACTTTTAATTTTAAAATATAAAAAGCTTTTTATGATCACATCAAACATGTATTACTCCTCCATTTTTTAAATTAAAAATTTACTAATTTCTCCTCTTGGAGAAAACAATCACTGTCTTCTCAAACTATTTAAAACCCTGAACAGATGTAGAGCTTGTATCATTGCAACCACACACAGAAATACTTCCACAGTGTAAAAAGAAAAAAAATATAGCCTTCATAGCTAAATTCTAAGAAAAAAAGGCTTCTGGTATAGTGCCAATTTATGGTCTGTGGTGATGGATTCTTTCTAAAACATCCATCACAAGTACCCAGCTCAATAGAATGAGGCACATTTTTTTTTACTATTTAATTGATACCATGTTAAATGCAAAATTCTGTTGGACTGCAGTTAAATGTGGTAGCAGAGCTTAATAGATGCTGGCTCCATCTATTTTAGGACTCAGGGATGCTTCCCAACTAGGAGGTCTGATGATTCATGGTGGGTAGAGTCCAGATCCGTTCTGGGATAAAACTCAAGTGTTCTTCATCCTCTCCCTACACTATAGTTTCCAAGCAAAGGAAAGTTTCCATGCAGWCCCAAAAACCAGTCACAGAGAGGTTCAGAAAGATTAGTGGGCACAGTGGAGATCTCCCCCACTGTACAGCTATGAGGTGCTGAGTACCCAATGTAAAAAGCTGATTCATCACCTATAGTCTCAAAGAGCAAAACATCATTACTTATCATACTTCATGAGCATGAAGTTGGCATGAAGTYTGGAAAAAAAGTAAGAAAGGCGGAATCAAGATTCAGATATACATTTGGAGTTTGTTATCAAACTCTTCTTTTTTTTTTCATTTTAAAGTTTAACTTATGAAAAGTTGGTCATTCAACAATACTTCAAACTAACAGTCAACCAGAATATGCAAATCCCATCCTCTGCCACCTAAAAGAGATCACACCTTAATGAGAAAAAAAAACTCTTTCCCTTTGGAATCAGAAGACCTGCTGCCTAAGCTATCAATTGCAAAGCTGTTAGCAGATGCATATATATGTCTGCCTTGGTCAATTTGTCACTGCCCAAAATGATAAAGGGTTCTAAAATTAAGAGGATGCTCTCTCTCTGGCTGTAATTTCAGAAAACAGAAAAGTATCTAGGAGTAGAAAGTGTTACCAAAACAGTGCTGTATTTGGCTGTCTACATCACTTTTTTACTTTATCTTCCTTAAGGGAATGTTTGCTAGACTAAATACAATTTCAGATATTTCTATTGTTTGGGCTATGAAAGGGATACTGTCAGCTGATATATGGGAATGGACTATAAGTTATTAAAGTGCTTTCTGGGGTCTTCCAGGATAAGCATTTTGGTTCAGCTAAAAAATAAAAAAAAAGTGAGTAGGAGTTTTGATAAAATATAACACTTGTGAAAATGGTTTATTGATATTTAATAGGGGTAAGGGGAAATAGAGAACAGAAGAAACAGATGCAACATTTCTTCATATATTGCAATTACAGGGAAGAAAGAATCTGCCAAGATAAAAATCAACCCTAAATATGACCTGTTCCTTGCAGCAGTTTAATAAYCAATGGGGTTTTTTTTCCCATCTCACTATTTGTTTTATTCCTTCTTGCCAGCTTTATGTATTTGCATTTTATTCAGTGGAGGGAACAAATTAGATTGGTCAATGTCCCCARTATTCAGAAACATATGGAAATATCTGAAATTGACAGAGAAATCTCTATCAAAATTACATTGGGATATATCATGTCCAATTTACATTTTAATCTCAGGTAATATCTTGTTTTTTTTTCATTTAGAAACCCTTCTTAGGATAGTGAAMTACTACAGTAGCTCTGAAAGTCCTTAAAATTATGTAATAATTTAACATTATGGGCTGGAATATATTGCCTGCACTTTCCCAACTCCCTCCTTCTATATTGCACCCATACATGGTTGACTGCCTCCTTCCAATCCACAGGGAAGAAAATTCCTTTTTCCTCTTCTCCCATGTATCACTAACCTTATGCTACTGCAAATATGAAACTGGCAGCTAGAGGCAGACTAGGACATGCTATTGCTCACTGTTACAGGCCGGTGAGCCTCACCTCCATCCCCGGGAAAGTGATGGAGCAGCTCATCCTGGCTGCTCTCTCCAGAC